TCTTGCTGCAATCTCCTGCCTCATACACGCTATCCAACTTCTGCAACGAACGACAACAGCCTCCTTCACCATATACCCCTGATTCATCACCAGAACAGGTCCATCCTGTGCACTGAATGAGGCTGGGGGCCTGTGGAAAAACTATATGTGATCATGTGATTAAAGATGGTGTCATGATACACATGCACAAGTGGGTAGAATTAAGGTTGTCCTAATTCTGACATTTCCTAACTTTTGAGTGCTTGACTTTGCAACCACAATAATGATCTTTTAATGTAGGTTTGGTGTGTAAATTTCCTAAGTTTTTAAAAAAAGAAAACTGAAAAGGTAACCCACGTGGCTCATCAGCAGGGCTGGAACCTTTAGATCCACTACACAGACTCTGCCACTTGAACTACGAGTAACTAATAGCAATATTAGGTTGTCATCCTTTATGTGGACCAGCAACTAGAGAGCGGTGAGCCATAAACTTTGCCAGTGGGTTTCACAGATATTTGCTGACAGCAGAGAAATGGTGAAACTCAGGAATTTGGGGTTCCATTCCAGATTCTGGAGGGAAGTGTACTTTAAGGGGCTCAGACTCTGCCTCTTTCCCTCAAACTTGACCCCTTCTGCCCCAACCTGTCCCTGTACCACTCCTGTCTCTTCCCCACTCCTGGGCCATCATCTCAGCCATCATCATTCTCCTTGCTTACCAAGTCCCAGGCTTCTGATGCCTGTCTCAGTCTCTTTGCCCAGCCAGTCCTAGTCTCAGTCTCCCCCAACTATTACTAGTCCCAGTCTTCCTCCTTTCAGTCCCCGTCACCTTGCCCAGCAATTCCACATTTCCCCTCCACCCCCACCCTCCCAAGCTCCTTTGTGTGACACTGAGGTCAATTGGTACCAGTTGGGAAAGGAGTCAATACTCTGTGTCAAGGCTCCTAACAGCCATGCCAAACTCACTACACCTAGCACACTGCTTTCCTAGTATTTATCCAGAGAGAATATAATGTAAGATAGCTAACGAAAGCTTATGTCATCCTGATCTTCATAATCATTGCAATATTTATGGAGTCATGTATGAAATTTGTGTCCACAACAAAGTTGACAAACAGGTTTTGGGTCAGAGGATGTTGAGTTACCTAATTCAGTGTTTCCCAAACAGTGGGTTGTGGGAAGGTTCTAGATTAGTTGCCACATCCAGGGCTGGATTAACCCATCCCTGGGCCATGGCCAAGGCAAACACACACTTCTCCCAGCCTGGTGCAAGACCCCATGAACCAGGTCACAATACCTAGAGTGGGGCATTGGGCTGAGCACTGTGGGACAGGAGCTGCTACTGCAGGATGAGTGCAGAGGGGGCCGGGTCAGGACTAGTGTTGTGGTGCCAGGGCAAAGGGTGTATTTATGGAATGCTGGTTCACAGAACGAGACAAAAGGCAGTGGGGGCCGGGGGGAAGGGGAGAGGGTCGCTTTGGTAAAGTTTGGGGACCACTTCCTAAGTGATATATTCCAATATAGCACTGGCTTGACTCTGCTAGAGCTTCACACTGTGAGATCATGTGCCACTCGTTACCCTCCCAGCCCTCAGCAACACCCTTCAGTGCTAGGGTTGCCAGGCATCCAGTTTTTGACTGGAACACCCGGTTGAAAAGGGACTCTGGTGGCTCCGGTCAGCACTGCTGACCGGGCCATTAAAAGTCCGGTCAGCAGCACAGCAGGGCTAAGGCAGGCTCCCTGCCTGCCCTGGCTCCGCACAGCTCCAGGAAGCGGCCGGCATGTCCCTGCGGCCCCTAGACGCAGGGGCAATCAGGGAACCTCCGCGTGCTGACCCCGGTCCGAGCACTGGCTCCGCAGCTCCCATTGGCCAGGAACTGCAACCAGTAGGAGCTGCAGGGGTGGCGCCTGCGGGCGTGGGCAGCATGCACTGTGCAGCGCCACCTGGCCGTGCCTCCACCTATGGGCCGGACATGCCAGCCGCTTCCGGGAGCCGTGCAGCGCCAGGGCAGGCAGGGAGTCTGCCTTAGCCCCACTGAGCTATGAACCGGGAGCTGCCTGAGGTAAGCGCCGCCCAGCTGGAGCCTGCACCCCAACCCTCTTGCCCCAGGTTGGAACTCCCTCCTGCACCCTAACTCCCTCCTAGACCCTACATCGCTCACCCCCCCCCTCCCCCCCACCCCCCCCCCCCACCCCCCCCTGCAGCCCTCCCCCCACCATGCCCCAACCCCCTGCCCCAGCCCTGAGCCCACTCACGCCCTTCAAACTCCTTGGCCCGAGCCTGGAGCCCCCTCCTGCACCCCAAATCCTTCATCCCTAGCCCCACCCCAGAGTCTGAACCCCCAGTTAGAGCCCTCACTCCCTCCCACACCCCAACCCCCTTCCCCAGCCCAGTGAAAGTGAGTGAGGGTGGGGGAGAGTGAGCAATGGAGGGAGGGGGGCTGGAGTAAGTGGGGGTGGGGCCTCAGAGAAGGGGTGGGGCAGGACAGGGCCTCGGGTGTTTGGTTCTGTGCAATAAGCAAGTTGGCAACCCTATCCAGTGGCCCAGACCGGGCATGACGATTATCTGGATTCTATAACCAGTTAGTGGCATAGACACCACTGTGACGTTACACCTCATATTCTTCGTAGAAATATGGTTATGATATGAATATGGCATAACTAAGACATGCTTTATGCAAGATGGGTTGTGTGAGGTATTGTTGGAAAGGTTATGATTTACTGAATGTGTTTATCCAATTTTTATGCATGTATCATTTCTGTATCTGAAGTTAGGAATATTGTCTATGTATCAATTACAACTTTGTGTGTACTTGGGAAAGACCCACCAGACTAAGCAATCAGCCTTAAAGGGCCATTAGGAAAAACAATGAGTCTTTGAAGATGTGCACATCTCCCATCTTCCCTGGAGTTCCTTCCTGTGGACATTGCAAATAAACCTTGTTTCATGGTTGCTTTGACCCTGCAAGGTCAGGTGATAAGGTCACCTGGGACATTGCTGGTACTTTTCCACTGGAAACAAAGGCTTCCCACCTTATGTAAATTCTATTTAAGGCTGGGAAGCAAGGCAATCAGGGCTCTCCATTTGCCTCCCCACCCAAGAAGGAAGACTGCTGAAAGCTCCTGAAGAAACCAAGGAACTAAGCTATGAAAAGGCAAGGGATGAGTCCAGGCTGAGAACAGGGGTTTAGCCTGTAAAGAGACTAAGGAGGTGTGCACGTGAGTGCTGGCCATTCTCCTAGCTAAGTCTTCCCACACAGAGCTGATTTCAGTCTGTGTCTGCAGCTGGGTGTGGCCTTACCTGTGTGTGTGTGTGTGTGCGCTGGAGAAGGCTTGAGAGCCTAGCAAAGCAAAAACAGGGTGAGGAAACCCAGGCTGGTGGAAAGGGTGGGCTCAGTGAGACCCTAGCATACCAGGTGGTGCCCCAGGATGGGGGTCCAACCCATCACAACCGCAACCACCCACAAGCAACACAGGCCAGTTTGTGTCCATGTAGCAGCACTCAAATTCCAAATAGCACAGAATTCCTTCTTCCTTCCTACTTCCCCACTTGAGCCCTGAGCCCACACGTGGGCCCTGTGCTCTCACAGTGCCCCACTGCAATAGCAGGTGTTCACATGCGCACATCACCTTGTAGGATTGGGATTGGAAGGTGTTTCCTCTGCAACTATCTACGCTACATCTCATCTCATTGATTGTCGCTTGTTTGTCCTCTAACCCACAGGTAAGTGGGGAACATGGAGACCTGGGAGATGGGTCAGAAACGAGAGGGAGTGTGGGCTATATTGGCAGAGAGAAAGGAGGGTC